ACTAACAATAATTTTATTAGCCTTGGGTATTAATTTTTCAGCGAAATTTTTAACAGAATCCGAAAAAGTCGCCGAAAATAATAAAATTTGTATCGAAGCACAAAAAAAACGACGAATCTGCTGCACCTGCATAAATACAAAAATAAATAAATATATATAAATATATATAAATATAAATAAATAAATATAAATAAATATATATAAATATAAATATAAATAAATATATATAAATCAATATAAATAAATATATATAAATATAAATAAATTTATGTAAATATAAATAAATATAAATAAATATATGTAAATATAAATTTATAAATATAAATAAATATAAATAAATATACGTAAATATAAATAAGTTTATAAATAAATTTATAAATAAATTTATAAATAAATTTATATATTGATTAGTTAATACGATAAGCTGTAATATAAATAATATAAATAAAAAATAAAAATAAAAATAAAAAATAAAAAATAAAAATAAAAAATATAATTGTGTATATATAAATATATAGTCGGGGTGTTATTCTATAATACTAATAAAAACAAAAACAAACATCATTATCATCACTAGCAGCATCACCAGCAGCAGCAGCAGCAGCAGCATCAGCAGCACCATCACTATCACCATCACCACCAGCAGCATCAGCAGCAGCAGCATCACCAGCAGCAGCAGCAGCAGCAGCAGCAGCAGCAGCATACTTGGGGTCCCATATTGTTATTAAAGTTAATTAACTCATCGGCCTCATCCAAAACCAAAAGACGGAGAAACGCCCCCTGCAGCCGCCGCTTCTTTAGCAGCTCCATCGTCTTCCCTGCAGCAGCAGCAGCAGCAGCAGCAGCAGCAGCAGGTGTTGCAGCAGCAGGTGTTGCAGCAGCAGGTGTTGCGGCAGCAGGTGTTGCAGCAGCAGCAGGTGTTGCAGCAGCAGCAGCAGGTGTTGCAGCAGCAGCAGCAGGTGTTGCAGCAGCAGCAGGTGTTGCAGCAGCAGCAGCAGCAGCAGCAAGAGTAGTTGTTGAAGCAGCAGCAGCAACAGCAGCAGCAGAAGCAGCGTTTTAGGGAAAGTAGTAGCAGCAGCAGACAGGAATCAGCAGCAGCAACACACCGGCATCATCACCAACACATAAAAATAATAATACAAAAAAAAAAAAAAAAAAAAAAAAAAAAAAAAAAAAAAAAAAAAAAAAAAAAAAAAAAAAAAAA